CTTCTCCACAAACCAAAGGACGAAGCTAGATTTCTTGGATATCCTTACTAGTAGTCGCGCGCGGTACTATATTCACTTCGAAACGATCCAGAAGCTTGCACACGGGCCCCAACTCCTCCTCAGAATGTGGGTCCTCATTTCTTCTAACGGTCTAGGACTTCAAGTAACACTGGAGAAAAGTGACGCGACCGGCGGGAGGTAGCCCCGACCTTGACAGGTGCATTGGAATGTATCTCCCGGTCGTGGAGCCCATCCCGTTTATAACTTGATTTGTCTTTCCTTCAGGAGGGGCTCGTCTTTCTCCACGGTTCTCGAGCAAATGGCGGACTCAGAAATCTCCTGGTCGCGGCGAGCGCCTCAGTTATTGAACGAACAAGATTATTTGGGTACGTGATTCTTGAGGAAGTCTCATGTCCGACACCAGTTTTTTTCCACACCGAATTCCAGCGCAACGACGCGGACCGAGCAGACATTAAAGAATCTCCAGCAATAACAATGTTTGGTGTGACGAAGGTGCCGCGAACTTCGTTCTCGCGCGATGTAGTATTCACGCTTTATAGGCGGGAAACAGTATCTGCGTTCACGTAACCGATTTGACAATGTCTTATCCCGGAATCGATGTCGGGTCACTTGCATTCGACACGGCAAGGAGATCTTCATATTTATTGCTACTCTTTCCCGCTCAACCTATCACTAGATACCGAGCATGAGTTGGTTTCGGATTCCGCCGAGAAAATATACTCGTCTCCGCGATCCAGACAAACAGTCGCATTGCCAATTTGAGGTCTCCGCAAGGTATGCGGTAGTGATTCCCGTGTCCCTCTTTAACATACTCGCAGTTTCGACGATATAGAACTCCAGTTTCTGCATCGGAGTGGAGCCCCGGATCCTCCGCCGTTGCGCATACTCAGCTTCGATGTTGAATGTCTGCCCCGCAAGGACATTTTCCCGGAAGCCGAAATAGACCCCGTTATTCAGATCTCTAACATGGTGTCGATATACGGTATGTTTTTGAAAGACCTAATTCTTGCCTTTTCCTGATCCCTCGCTCAAGGGGAAGAGGCACCTCCGTTTATCCGAAATGTGTTCACACTCAACACATGTTCCGAAATCGCTGGCGCCGCCGTCATCTGTTACGACGAGGAGCCCGCTTTGTTGCAAGGTTGGGCGGATTTCGTGAGAGAGGTTGACCCAGATCTGGTCATTGGGTACAATAACACGGGATTTGACCTCCCATATCTGCTCGCTCGCGCGAAAGCCCTTCAAGTGTCGCGTTTTCCCTTCCTTGGCCGTCTCAAAGGTTTTTCTTCCACAATTAGGAAAGACTTCATCCGTGAATATCTATTTTAGGTTCCGAAAGCGCGCGTGAGCGGACCTTGCAGTACACGACAGCGCGGGGACAAGTCCGTACCTGGGAAGACATACCTTTATCTGGCCGCTTGCAGCTCGACCTGATGCATTATATCCGCTGTGAGGAGACATGCACACAACTCAGCTTGAATCATGTGGCCAGGCGCTTTTTGGGCGAGAAGAAAGAAGACGTGCATTTTTCTGCCATCAGTGGACTGCAGTCTGGTTCGGCAGACACGAGACGTCAATTAGCGGTATATTGCTTGAAGGTACTGCCAGACTTTTCTCTCACTCGCCATCGTTTTCTCATAATCGCCACTTAGGATGCGTATCTGCCGCTGCGACTGCTCGAAGTCCTTGATTGCGTCGATAAATACACGAAGAGATCGCGTAAGCAACACATACGCTTCAATTCTATATTACCCGCCTATGATGTCGCTGCTGGTAACAACGATCCCAACCTGCCTACATAGTATTTGAACTCGATTCAATTGGCCGGCATTCACTGAAAGTCTGGTTTATTTATATCGGGTTCCAGCGACAAGATTTCAGTCTGAACATCGCAAGAACGGCTTGGATTATTTCCCCAATGGTATTCTTTCGTAGCTAGTAGGTCGCCCCTTCAAGTTTAGTCACATTCTCTATGCGCGTTCCTCCATGTCCCTCTTCTGCATGGCTGTTCGGGATCAAAGTGGCTGCTGGCGGGTCAGAATCCTCTTCCTTTTGAGTTTCCAGGTTGAAAGCGCGGCATGTGTCGGAGCACTCTTGCCGATGCCCGGCATCCAGGGGATAGTGGGCGGAGATGGCGGAGTTCAATCATGAATATCGATCTTCATCTTGGTCAACCATGTTATCGACCTCCCGATTCGCCGATAGACTGAACACCAACTACACCCCTTCGGAGAGCGAAGTTGCGGAGATCCGTGCTCTTCTCGTGGAACCACTAAATGCCTTAATTCAACTCAGCGCTGAAATCAGCGAAAGAGAGGTCGCTATCGGCGACCTCAAGGCCAGATTCGAATCGCTGATGAACCAGGTTGATCTGCACAAGGCGCTCATGTCGCCCGTGCGTCGTATACCGCAGGAAATCCTCCAGGAGATCTTTATCGCATGCCTACCGACGCACAACGCACTTGTCGATTCCAGAGAAGCGCCGCAGATCTTGGGACGAATCTGCAGTTATTGGAGAACCGTGGCTTATTCAACGCCTGAGCTTTGGAGCTCTATCCATATCGCGCCGATGACGGAGCGATTCAGCGGATACGTTACCCAGCGCAGTCGGCTGAAGTTCGTGGAACTTGTAGCTACGTGGCTTGATCGCTCGGCCCCATTGCCTCTATCGATCTCGTATTCACTTCAGGCCACTTGGACCAGCCTAGGGTCGGAACCTGAAGGGATCGGACTTGTCAACCAATTGTACAGAGTCTGTCGTCGTATCCGCCACCTCGAAGTGTCGGGGCAGATGCTCACCTCTGAAATCCAACCGCTGCTAACGCTCGATGCGGAGAGTCTACCGCTACTCGAATCCGTCAAGATCCGCTCCCCCCAAGGTTTGCACCCAAGCACCTTGGCATCCTGGAGTGATATAAAGATCATCCACATTCCACATCTACTGCGCCTCTCGCTGTACTTTGAAATCAACCCTGTCGAGAATGCCCTCCCGTGGGCACATCTGACGGAGCTAAATATTGTGGGGGCTTATTCAGGGTTAACCCGCAATGGTGCGCTGCAGGTACTTCGCAGATGCCCGAATCTCGAAAGATGTCGGTTGAACATCATAACCGGACCATCCCTTGTCATCGAACCTGCCATCACCCTCTCGCGACTTACGGCGTTCATCCTCGGCGGAATAGATGACTTCGACGAATTCATCGCATGCTTGAGCCTTCCGACACTACGTTATCTGTATGTTGGAAAACTCGACCGTCACACACGCCCGTGCCTGCGGATGCCCGTGCCAACGTCTCATCCTGGAAGTTTGACGGTGGACATAGCGTTTTCATTTCAGTCCACTCTACCACCAATCCTGCTCAGGTTTCTGCCGCTCGTTCCTGCTGTGTCTCAATTGCGCGTGTGGGATCCGAAGCCCGCGAAAGAGGGTCAGTTTAGGATGGCAGACCTACTGGATGACGCATTCCTAGCCCGTTTCACCTCATCATCGGACGGTGCGCATGGTATCCTCTGCCCTGCGCTCACTAGTCTCGAAATCAGTAAAGAGTTTGCTGGTTTCTCGGACCTCCGAGTTCTAGACTTTATCCGCAAGAAGGCTGCAGCAGGCCTTCCTATGCGGCGGGTGGACATTCGGTTTGGCTTCCGCTTGGCGGAGTCCAACATCTTGCCTGACTTGCAGCCATTTGTTCGGCGAGGTCTTCGGGTTACCCTCGCATATCCTCAAATTCCCAAATGGCAATATAACTCCCGTGCAGGTTTAGTGGTGGAGGATGGGTTCTGATCGCGAGCGTTTCTTGTTCATTTTCTTGATAGGCTGGGTGCATGGTTTTTGATAAAAGCTGTACAGTATATAGGAAAGAAATAACATGGAGAAATCATTTATTTCCAATAACTTGTCGCCCGGGGTACCTCCATTCTGAGAACTGGGAACGGTGCGGGGAGCCGATAGATACTGCGCTTTGGGCGATACGACGTAGGATACAAGTAAGATTGAATACAACTTAGCATGGGAGCAAACGGCGGAGGATGATCATACAGTACTCTTGTTCAAAGGTTAATTATTTTTTTCAGCTGTAGTAGCTGAAGTTCTGTTCAAAGGAGCACTGGATCGCGCAGTAAACAAGAAAAATCTCGGACAGGGCAGTCTAACATTCGCGAAGGGAAGAAATAATCCGTCAGAAACTGCGAGGAGAATGTACAGTAGTCTGGAGAAACACAACCTCAGTCAAAGTAAAACAGCCACCTGTGCTAGAGACTCCGGCAGCGTGTCCACCACCAGCGCGCGAAATTCCCCCACTGAATCCGTCCACTTGCTCCACTCCACGTGGAACTCCAGCCTCTGCATCCCTGCAAACGTAGGCCGCTTCAGCACGTCCACTAGCGCAGAGATCGCCGCATCCCCACCAATAAATTGTGTTGCGTATGGCGTACGTGGATTGATGGCGACTTCGAGTGTCAGCGCTTCCAATCGTGCATTACCTGCGGCGAGATGGTCAAGAAGGTTCACGAAAGACAATGAGACGATTGTCTTCCAGGACGGGCGGGACGGCGGACTGACGAGCTGTGACTTCAGCTCATGAGTAGAGTCCATAGCCGCGGGCGGGCGGCAGCAGTGCGGGAGGTGGGTAGAGGTATATATGGGCGGGGTTTGGATGGGTTGAATTTACGGTTGGGTTGGGTATTCAAGGGCACAGGCGGGTCGACGAGCCCGGCCCGCTGGTATGTATGCAAAGCTAGACCGAGACCGCCGACGAAGGAGAGACTCAGAGACTCGAGAACGAAAACTGCCGCGGGATTTGTGAAGAGAGAAAAGTCAAAAATATGCCTAATGGGGCGAGGCTTTCGTCGGCTGTTGGAACGAACTCTCTCTACCGTCATCGTACTGGGATAGTACTCTGGTGCACCCCGCCGGGACACCGGCAGCTCTCTGATAATTCCGGTCCACGATCAAGATCTGCCAGAACACCGATGCTGCAGCCTGCCTCCTCAGGGAGTCGAACCCTGGACCTCATCAATTTGCTTGGGCAAGTCTGTCCCAGCGGCTTACACCGCTGCACTAAGGAGGCACCGGAAACATATGGATGCTCATTCTCTTTGTACCGTATGAGACTGCAGAATATATGTATCAGGGTGGCGGTGGAGTTTGGTGGTGCCTTCAAGCCCAGCGGCAGATTCCTGGGCCGCGTTGCAAGACTTCGCCTCATACCTTATAGGCTATAACCCTTTCGCGGAGCCTTTATTCAGACATAGATGCATAAGAGTTAATAGGAGTACAGATCAATGGCCACTTAGTCCTAACTCGCATAAGTCTGACCCGCCGCGGCTGGCGCGACCGACGCTTATTGCGCGAATATGTCGTGTTCACAGGATTACCGCTTTGGGAGAGATATTGCTGATCCGTGGCTCTGATGGGGATATCAAACGCGTCTTAACACCGAAGCGGGACGCGCCAGTTCATTCTCACGTGACCCTGCAGCCTTAGGGGTTCCTCTTCCGCTCCTTCCGCGCGACACCACTTGCGAAATCGCGATTTTCGTCTCTAAATACCATTTCAAGACCCTTCCCCAGGTCCTATATAAACCGGGGCTTGTCGTCACGGTCGCGCCCGCCGTTGGAGTGTGAGATTCAGTGAGAAGCATTGAATACAACCACAGGAGAAGGTGTATGGCATGGGCGTATTTTTCACCGATTACTACCATTCATATGGCGAAAGTTTCTATCCAGTAGGCATTCCGCGAAACGAGGAATCTCAAGAGTGGATGCACTCGGTCTGTCCGGCGTGTGCTTATGCGGAGTTCCTGATGCAGAAGTCTGCTCTGTACTCCTAATGGACGTCTCTGTGTCATTGGGTGAGGCCTCGGGGAGCTCCGTTTCAAGTTTTGGGACCGTTTAATCGGATACAACGTGAATTTGCTGCAATGGTATTCAGGGGACAGCGTATACAGTAATAGCGTCGGATTCAGATTCTCTAAAGAAGTTTGGGTATGGGACGGACAATGGCAGTCATACCCTTGTAGATGTTACTTTTTTTCTCGATAACATATCTGGCGACCTTCATCATTCTCAACAATTGGAAAGCAACAGTTGAGGAGCAAGCAGCAGTTCGGCGGGCGCGGAGATGGCGTGAGCCGGTGATTCCAGTATGTCGGATGTGCCTTTCTGTTCATGGTGAGGGAGAAGGGGTTTTCAGAATTCTAATTTAAAGAGCTCTATGCCTGTACTGTATACCCTCGGTTTCTATACTTTTGTTTGTTCACCGAAGCGCGGATGAGTGATAGCTGTATGCGATACGTAGACCAAACTCACCTCAAATCCCCAAATTAAGTTGAGACGGATCGGCGTGCAGCCGCACGCGCAAGGTCGTCAGCGACAGAGTTGAGTTTGCGCTCGACGTGAAGAAATTGGATTTTCAGGCCACGGCTCTCGTACACAGAGACCATGTCATCGAGTTCGCGGAAGAGGTCGAGGTTTTCGGGTGTGCGGCCTTGCGCGTTGCGCCAGCGGTTACTCTGGAGCGAAATCGGCCTGGATCTTCAAGACGGACGAGTAAAATAGATCAGGCACGTACCTTCCACTTCGGCAGCCACTCCGTTAACCCTTTCACGACGTACTCGGAGTCCGCGACGACAACGTATTCGCACTCGGTGTCCTTGCTCTTCAGATGGGCCCGCGAGCCGACATGGTACTCCCTCTGAGCGTTGATGACGAACTGCAGGCCGCGCATCGCCGCGAGAAGCTCTGCACGCTGGCTCGTACGCGGGGCGCCGGAGTCCATATCGTCGGTCACCGGCAACGACAGTTGGTCCTCTTCCCTCAGCCCAATCGCACAGCCTATTCCTGCGCGCGCCCCTGGCATCCCGTTCCCCGAGCAGGCCCCGTCGACGAAGACGAAGCAATGATAGTGGCAGACGATCTCAGGGTGATGGCAGCACATCGCGAAGAAGCGCCCGCATTGGTCGCAGAGGTCGATGCGTTCGGTGAGCGTGAGTTCGTCGAACTTGGGGCAGAACTTGAACAGTCGGGGCGAGATTTTTGGGGTCTGGATGGTGCGGCATCGTTGTCAGGGGTCAAAACTCGGAGCCGCATCTACACCGCCACATAATGTTCTTCGCTTGTAGGTTGCTTTTGCCCACACTCTCAGGAACAAAAGATCCGGAAACTCGAAGGCGAGAGGATTTTGGAATTGAATAGGTAGGATATAATTATTTCCCGTGGATAAGGAGAAAGAGGGGAATATTACTAGAGTGCCGATTCTGTCAACTGGTTTGTTGTGGGAGAATGCAGGATCGATGTTATCGGGCGGCTCAGTGGAGCTGTTGGTCCCAGATAAATTCCTCACATTGTGTGGTTGAAACAGATGATTGGAATGCCAAAGTACCGCCAACTTGGATCGCGTCGAGTGTAGTTGACAGGCCTTCTTTTGTACAGGTAGTTCAAGAGGTGATCATACGTATACACGGGGTATATCTAAAAACGCCACTTAGCTAGTAATATAACAGAGGATGCTGATAGTAAAGGACATACCTTAAGCAGAGAATAGATCCCAAATCAATTTGAACATTTGGGCTTGCCAGTAAGTGCCGAATCTGAGTTCTACGGCTCTTTGGGCTCTGAAACGAAGATGGCGAATTTTCAAGACTTCAAAGTCGAACTTGAAAGCCCAAGGCAGTCCTGCTTTCATGCTCTCTGCGGCGTATATCAATAACTGTCTGTATTCCTGCCCCTTGTCCAGTCGCCGGCCACGTCGGCTGACAATTTGTCTTCATTTGACGGATTAACTCGTCAAACGCGTTGGTTTTTCGGCTATGGTGGTCGTCAAATTGTGTCGGAGGCACTGGGTCACCCTGCAGGCCACCAGGGCCTCAGCATGTGGGGCGACCAGTACGGCTGAGAAAAGGGCAGGGTGGCTGAATCCAAATTCTTCCAAGACACCATATTTCGCGCTGAGATAGGACCAGTGGGCGCACTAAGCGCAGAGACTTGACCATGAGTCGTGTCAGAAAACGACGCGCGAGTTGACAACGGAGGCGCTCAGCAGGGATGAACTTGATTTCGTTATGATTTCGTGTTACAGGACCTAATCCGCAGAACCAGATTCTATCATTTCGTCAACCCAGCGACACATCTGCCCATTCGCGATCTTGAAATCCAAGCACTCCTGACACATAACAAACGTCCAGCCACTCAGGGTTTCAGCGAGGTGTCCGTCCTCCCCACACTTTTCGCACGTGGTGAACGACTCCTCTGCCGCCTCTTCCACCCGCTTGTGCACTTTATCGGAAGCGGCAGTAGTATAGACGCGCAAGCCGCCGAACTTCTCCTTGATTTGGGTAAAGGAGAGGCCGTTCTCGTGCTGTATGTCGGCACAAAGGCGACGGAGGAGGGGTTCCCAGCCGTTCCCAATATCGCAACTGCAATCCAGTTTGAAAAGGGTAGGAAAGTCGTTTTTCAGGCGTTCTTCGAGCTCGGGGCGCATAGGTAGGATGAGAGGAAGCAGATTATCAAAAAGAAAAACGAGAATGCAATCGTTTAGGCGTGTGCAATGTGACTCCGATGTGACTTAGTGTCACACGTTGAAACGTCGATGTCCCTATGTCTCGCCGGGACTCAGACTCAGACAACTCGTCCAGGATTGCTGTTTACTTCACCACCGGTTCAATCGAAGTTCAAACCCAAGCAGGCTGCTGCCAGACAGTCTGGGTACAATTCCCGTTCCAGTCTCTCCCAAACCACGCCATCGCGACTCGTGTCAGACTCGGATCGGACTCGTTCTGATGTGGGCAGTTAGTGTGGGCCCTTCAATGTACGTAACATGACTCTCTAGGACCTCGTCCAAAAAGTTGAAGAACTCTTCTTCCTCTTCCTGAATTTCCCCTGTAGTTCCTCTCGCTTATTGCGTCTATGACATGACCGCTGTCACTCTCTCCCTGCGTGAACTTTGAAGTATCTACACCCACTGGGACGGCTTCGTTGCATTCATCCCGTTATTACCTGATAAGGACCAGAAACGGTCCTGCAGGTCTCAAGCTCCCTACTCATAAGCGAAGGAAAATTACTTCAAATCGAGACATTTGCCTTGATCACTGTCACTATAGGTTAATCTTAAACTGTGCAGACGCTCATCTGACCCCAGATGCTAAACACAATGCCGTCTCCCGATCGCAAAATATAGATAGGAACCAGCGGCGTGTGTGCCGCTTTCTCGTTCAGTCCAGGCTATGACCACGAGATAGGACACCTTGAGAAGAGAAGTCTGGAAATACCCGCCACAAACGTTTAAGAGGCTTCAGCCGCAATTGATCCCCTCCCGTCTCTTGCCCACGTCGCCATGTCCAAAGAGAACGAGAACGAAAAGGCTGATATCGCTATTGTTGAAGACAAAGTAGCGGACGCTCCCTCTCGCCTCGATGCACTGCCAGAAATAGGAACCCCGGAGCGTATCCTCGCGGAACGGAAGCTCGTGCGGAAACTCGACTCCCGGTTGTTGCCCACGATATTCTTGATCTATATCATGAACTACATCGACGTGAGCTCCCGGCTTCAGTCACTAAACGTCCTTGCTTCGTTCCTGAACTGGCGTAGAGGAATGGGATCACCACCGCGCGCTTGAAAGGCCTCGAGCAAGACCTCGGGCTCTCAGGTATGTGCCTCCGGCGGACTACCACCTCCAAAAACTCATCAACTCAACTCATGTTTCGTCCAGATCTGCAATACAGCGTGGTCCTCTCCATACTCTTCGTCTCATACTGCCCCGCGCAGATCCCATCGAATATGGTAGGTTAATTTCTTACCTTTCTACCAATGGTACTGAGGTCTGTATTCTGTTCCTCAGATTCTCAACTACGTTACACGGTACTGCGAAGCCTTGTCATTTCAACTAATATTCAACACGCGATAATCTAGGCCGTCGTGGTACATTGGTGCTTGCGTCATCGGTTGGGGACTTACAAGCTTACTCACCGGGGCGAGCATTCCGATGGAGATAATATTAACGCCTCTCATGAATTAATTATAACCATAGGTCACCAAAAATTACGGCGGAATCTTAGCATGTCGTATTTTTATC